AGATGATCTGTTAGACCCTCACATTTGTGCGTTACTGTGACTAGGGGTTCATTTTGTCGTGATGGTGTAGGATTTGAGATGAAGTTAGATATTATTGTCATGGTGCTTTAAAAATGTATACATAGTATATTATCAATCTTTCAGAAAGTCACTGAGGACCAGTGTTTGGATGGTAGAACAAAAAAGGATGACTAAGATTACCACTTGAAAGATGATTTCAGAACAGAAGTAAAGCTCTCTTTAATTTGTACAGCACAGTAAATACACACAATTAAAAGCCAATGAAAAGATGAGAATGTCTTCTTTATGACTTAAATAACGCTTTCCCAACCACGCTGATTTTTGTCAGCAATGTGTTTCTTCTGACATCTTGAGGTGCATGAGAAAATCCAAACTTCATTAAGAAAAACAGCATTTTAAAGTTGTTCATTTGTTCCATCTTGGAGAAAGAGCTGACATAACATATATTATATGTTTTTACAAATATGCATCATGGTATAGTTCAATTAGCATCCATTCAGCTCGTTTACTTTGGGTTCCTAGTGCTATAGTCAGAATTCAGCTGGGACCTGGTTGCTGTGACACTGTCACTCAGCGGAGACAGATGGACAGGCGTTCCACAGCTGAAGTAGAGAGCCAGTCGTTGGTGTCCATCAGAGAAATCCTGGTAGGAATCTTAGCTAACAGGTCCTTAAAGTTGGCACTGGCAGAGAAGTGAATCCAGTTGCAGTCTCTGGAAAAGCAAGGGGAAGGAAGCCAGCTTGTGTGAGAGGTGATGGAATGAATCCATTAAAATGATGTTTAGCTTTCTGGACACACATGGAAGTGTGACGTTTAGATGTTTAAACAACTGAAATGAAAGATCTTGCAGTTAAACTACATGTTGATTGTCATCTGCATAGAACAAGCCAGAATGTAATTAATGTCCCACCTGACCAAGGGACACTCTCACATGAAAACAAAACCAAAAATGTCAAAAGCAAAGTACAACACAATCCGTCATATCCTGCATACTTCACACATACTTAAACTCTAACAGTTTGTCAGTTTGTCAGAAGGACATTGTCTGAAGGGCAATGGCGGTCCGGGTACCAATCCAACATGTGAGTCCATGTCATTCCCTGCTCTCTCTACTTGATTTACTCCTTTCAGCTTTCTCTCCAATAAAGGCTCAAAAGCATAAAAAAAATATTTTTCCAAAAACTACCAAACAATTAGCTCTTCTTAAATCTCCTGTATTGTTTTGTATATTATAAATATTACTAGTTTAGTTATTATCAGGCCAATATTTTGTTTCATATACACATTTCTACGGACTTTTTTTTTTTATCGTCATGACTATAAAATTACTTTTGATTGAACTGGAAACTTAAACATTACTATAGTGTGGATATAAAACAGTAATTTTGAATAATGGGAAAAGAAATGGAGGCTTATTTTGTCATCATGACTGAAAATATTTATCTCTTCTTAAACAAAGAACACAGCCACACATAGTCGACGTTGTACTCTGTCGTTTGTGTTTATCCTGTCCCAGTTTTTACCGGGTCACTGGGTCTTTCCTGCGTATAAGCCCAAATATGGAAATATGACGAGGATTATAACTTGGCTGCAATTCAGGATGCACACACACTCAGACAGTCTCACACACACACATTGTTGGAAACACAACCGCACAGTCACACACATGCAGATATTGGCCTCGAAATGTTTTACAGCAAATACAAAATGTCTGTCAGAAACACCTACACACATAACTCAACAGATGTATATATCACTTCTCCTCTCTGTGCCTCCATCACTTCATGTTTCCTGAATCTTCTTCATATGTGAATGTGAGACTCAAATGCATGAGAGCAACCAAAATTAGCATGTAGCACATTAGCGTTTTATTAAATGGAGTCAGTCGGTGCAAAATGGTACCTTCCTACCAGACACAGCAGCCATTTTTGTTCCTCTGTTATGCACTCTTATTTTGACAGGAGACAAATTGAAAATGTTCACAGATAATTTTTTCACCATAAAGAAAATGGGAACAGACTGTGTGTGTGTTCGTGTGTTTGTCTATGTGTGTGTGTGTGTGCAAAGTGTACATCAGTGTGACTGTAGTGCTCGCAGAGCAGTGCTGTTACCATGACAACGCTACAGGCAAAGTGGGTCAGCAGGCTCCTGCCACACCCCTGTTGGCATGGCAACAAGCCTGGTCGATTAAACCTGAGCAGTGCGATGACTCACAAACACACACACACATGCACACACACACACACACACACACACACACACACACACACACACAGACATCAAACCAAAACCCCTTTTGTGCAAAAGGGAGGTGAAAAAGGAAAGGGATGCGTGTGTGTGTGTGTGTGTGTGTGTGTGTGTGTGTGTGTGTGTGTGTGTGTGTGTGTGTGTGTGTGTGTGTGTGTGTGTGTGTGTGTGTGTGCGTGCGTGCGTGGGTGCAAGCTTGTGTATGCTTGTGTGTGTGTTCGGTCTGTGTTTGTGGGCGCGCGTGTGTGAGAGAGAGAGAGATTGTGATGTGGCAGATATGGATTTAATAAAGCATTTGAATTGAAAGCTCATAGTATTAATATCATTAGGAGTTGTAGTAGTAGTCATTTGTTTAATTTGTAGAAGTAATAACTAATATTAAACTGGGATATTTCTCAGGATCTTGTCAGTGCTAGTGATCTGAGATCTATTTGATTAGTTTCTCTTTAAAAGACACTTCCCTGTTTACATTGTTTTCCCCAAATTATGTCAGCTCAGATCATTTTTTAAATTTAGTGTTTTATGATTGAACTTTTAATCTTAGGTAGAGCATCTGATGATAACAACCTGGATGAATAAAGTCTAAATTATTATAAAAGTAAATATGTCAAATTCAAATGTCATATATTGATTATTCTGATGGACACATCTTCCCTATCAATAAATAATTGTCGTAAAGAGACCTGTTTCCCATGTATAGTAACAATCCCATCCTTTTTTCTCCTGTCTTAAAGCATGTTGGATAAGTCTAATTAATGAATTAATTACTTTTTTTGCTGTCATCTCACCAGCTTACATTTTTGAAGTGCCACCCAGCTGACTCTCTTTACTCGGCATGGCTGTCGAAAACAGCTTTGTGATCAGTATCAAATGACCCCTTCAATTAGAGATACATACATGTCGAAACAAAGTATTTTCTTTGCTGGAGTGGAGGCGGAGTATTTTTTAAGACTGTGCTCTAAGAAAACCAGCTGTTTGTAGAGACAATAAATTATTGACTGCTGCAATGTACTTTTGGTGTCCTTTTAAACCCAGTGAGAATCCAGCACATCATGCACATGTTAAAAAGACAAGTCAAAAAATGAACAGTATTTTTAGTTTGAATGACTTCAACCTGCAGTTTTGGCTTAAGAGCTTTGTGCAGCTCAGGTAAGATGAGGAAGCAGTAGACATTCTAGAGGGAGAGACACATCAAGAAAAGAAAAAAGTCTAGTAGAAGAGCAGCTTCAAACACATCCAAATGATTTAACCAGTCCGATGAAGTGGTCACCACTTCATGAAACCCATTGACCCGACACTGAACTCAACACTGCATGTGCTCAATGAAGACAGATCTGTCAAACAATGGACTCATTATACAGCCCACATTAAAAATACTTATATGTTACAACACTACTTGCCCTTTACTGGTCATTTATCCAGTGAATAAAAGGTCTGTTATAGTATGATATCGCTGACGCTCTTTTTACCTTGGACATCCTGTGCGGGTGGGTTAAAAACAAAAACTACCTGATCAACTCAAACTAGAGTTTAACAACGTTGGTATGATGGTTGGCTATATGGCTCCGTGTTCCATTATTATCACCTGGTCAATCAGGCCCAACTTATTGTTCTGTATTTGCCTGACCACCATTTGATTCAAACATTTACAGTACGTTTATATATAGGGTCTATGAATGGGTAAAAAAAAGACACAAGACTTTTACTTTCAGAAAGTGATTTAGAGATGTATGGGGACGTATGAACTTTATTTGAATTTATTTGTATTTAATTTCTGGCTTTTTATGCCTTCATTAGTGAGACAGTACAGTGGATAGAGTTGGAAATCTGGGAGATAGAAGGAGTGGGAATTGACACGCGACAAAGGAGCTACAGTTTGGACTTGAACCCGGCTGCCCGCTTTGAGAACTGTAGCCTCTGTAAATGGTGCGCCCGAACTATACACTAGGCCACTGGTGCCCCATGATTTTTGTCTTCAACCCAACCAACTAAGTTTGGTCGCTAATCCAAACTTAACTGTAATCATTTGAATGTGTGTTCACTCAGTTTACAGAATGAGGACAAGTTAACAGGATTTTTGAAATTCTGACCCATTCATTTGGAAACTGAAGCTATTTTCACATTACACATGTATCAGAACCTAAATCAGTCAATTAGAAAAGGATGTAAAAATATTCTAATTTTAAGGATGATTGATTTTCATATTTGATGGGTCATAAATACACAGTTACTGGATGGATTTGATCCTGTATTGCTGAGATTAACTTGTAATCACTTTTGTTTTCCTTTTTCTGTGCCGTCCTCCTCAATAAGAGTTCTGCACCTGTCACATTATATAATGTTCAGTGGCTCTAAATGCTGCACCAACAATTCAGATATTTGAAGTGGCTGCCTTTGAATCTGTGATTTATTGAATTATGAAGATGAAATCTTTCTCTTAAAATAAAACTCTTGCAAAGTGAAAGTGTACATGCCTAACTAGACACTATTTTTCATCTATATTTTTAAAGATGGTTGTTTTTTAATGAAGGCAGGTAACTTTCCTTAAGCTTATAAAGAACTTAAAATAAATCTGCCTTCTTTCTTCATAACCAGTATGTGTATGCATGCTTGATTTTCACTACCAGCTTTCTGTAATGAACCATACAAATCCTGTGAATATTGTTAAGACTCATCAAATATATGTAAGACATTGTCAGCACTTTCATTCTGATTACTTCTGTTTGTTTAAGGCTGTAAGGAGTGCTGTGAACGATGTGTGGGAAGCCTGCCCTGGGCCTCTCTCATCGCCACCATCCTCCTCTACATGGGCGTGGCCTTGTTTTGTGGGTGTGGCCACGAGGCTCTGAGCGGCACCGTCACCATCCTCCAGAATTACTTTGAGGTCATCAGAGCCCCTGGAGAGACACTGGATGTGTTCACCATGTGAGTGATTTTTTTTTAACCTTTTTTTTTTCTCAGTGACAGTCTCAATGAGTTTTTTTTTTACTCAGGACTGTTTTTTAAATCTTCTAATAAGAATCTGTATAGTTTCTGTTCACTAACACATTAATTGGCTTGAGGCTCATTAGCTTCAAATGGAAGACAAATTCCTGCTTCTAAATTCTGGGCAAAATGTATACATTAAGAAGCCTTGAGGGAATAATCGTGGTCTTCTTGATTATTTGGAGCCATTTGGATGAGAGGGCAAAGCTAGGGAGAACAGGTCACCAAAAATAAAACTATGTATTAGAAACACTGCTAACAAGCTAACTAGCTAAGAGACAGATACCATCTAATATTTAATACTATATAAAGAAAATACATACAGTTATTTGGTCACAATTTCTCTGAAACTGGAGTACAGATATGTTGATAAACTATTTTTGACACCTTGTATCAATTGTTATATTTGACCTAATTCAACTATTTGACAGACTGGATCATCACTTCCACAAACATTTCCACCAACACTTAGTTTATACTTCTAAGAAACTACAGAAAAAAACCCTCTGTCAACACATGTTGTCTCTGACGTTTCTGGCAAATGAAAACATTGATTTAGCTGAAGAAACATGTTGAGACTACAAGGTCCAGACTAACGTGAAAACAAATAAATAGCCTACTAATTAAACACTGACACTGTGTGTGTGTGTGTGTGTGTGTGTGTGTGTGTGTGTGTGTGTGTGTGTGTGTGTGTCCTCTTCACAGTATTGACATCCTGAAGTACATCATCTATGGACTTGCAGCTGGGTTCTTTGTGTTTGGAGTGCTGCTGCTGGTGGAGGGCTTCTTCACCACCGGAGCCATCAGGGATCTCTATGGAGAGTTCAAGATCACCGCCTGCGGGCGCTGCCTGACTGCATTCGTAAGCAACCAGAAGACTGAATATCATTATAGTGCCATATCTGTCCAAATGTTTAAAACACACATCAGTTAACCACAGTGCTACACTTGGTAACATCTTCCTCTAATGTCATAAACTCGTTCTTTAATATATTTTGACATGTGCCCCAAGTCACCACCCTGTTGCTGCAGATCCCAGCCTGAGTGTCAAACATGTATTAATCCACAGCTAACAATGGTACCCAAAAATAGGCTAACAGCTAGCTCTGCTCATTTTCAGAAAACTAGAGTTACTTGTTGCTACAGACATAGCTCCAACTGCGGGTCTAACTATGAAAGAAAAATAATTTTAATATTAAGTGAAGTATCCCGGTTACAGGTTTAGAGACCGTAACAATGATGATGTATTCAGGTTAGAGGTGTAAAGTCAGTAACCATGGTGATGTATCAGGTTAGAGGTATAGATTCAGTAACCATGGTGATGTATCAAGGTTCAGGTTAGAGGTTTAATGGGTTATTTTTAATCCAATGCTGTGTTATGAGCAGGACCATGTTTAGTGAACATCTTTGGACTGGATATAGATTAAGATATGATAACTCCTCGACTATAACAGCCGGCTCACTTTTCATATCCCTAACATAATATTGAGGTTTTGATCCTTATTCCAAAATGATGAATGAAAGAGAATATTGAATAATATTCTGTTTACATGAAGCTGTACAGCCCTTCAAACTGTTGGCACAAACTGTTTCAAAGCCTAAGAAGCTACTTTAAATACACATGTAAACATTTTAAAAACACATAAACGTGTCATCTGTTCACTAGCTACAAACATTTTAATTAAAGGGAGACATTTATTTGTCCCAAGTTACTAATTAGTTAATCACGCTGCATTCTGAATTCACGAGTTCAGGGTGTTTTAATCACAATCCAAACACACTAAAGATTCAGTCATCATTTAATGTCTAACATTGTTTTGAGTTTTTAAACTGTAACGTACACGTGTTGATGGTGTTGGAAAGCGTGACTGAACCTACGTGTCTCTGTTTGTCATGTCTGAATCTCAGACATGACAAACAGACTAACTGTGAAAAAAAAGATCCTCATCTGCTGAGGAAATGTCTCCCTCACAGCTGTAGCTCTTCTGTGCGTGTGTAGACCTCTGGAGACACCACACACACACGCACACACACACACACACACACACACACACACACACACACACAGGTGTTTGGCCTTCAAGACGCTTATAGGCAAGAGAAAGCGAGCTAGAATAGTCTCTTTTATAGGTTCTTTTTATGCATAAATATGAATAATACAGGAATTTGACAGGATTACCTTCACACCGGACCTCTGCAATAATCAGTGAATTCAGTGTATAAATGTATAAGGGCCAGGTGTTTAGGTATAATAGCGACTAAAGTTACAAAGAAATACCCTTTTCAAGTTAAATGATCCACCTTTACTTCAGGATTGCAAATAAATTGGTTGATCCCTGGGGGGAAATTATCCCAAATTACAGTTACTCAAATGATGAAAAAATAAATACAGTACAAGCTTTTTAAGACATGGAAAATACAAAATACAAAACAATATATACATTAAATAAGTCTAAAGGAAGTCTTTTAACACAAACTATCTGAGATTATGATGGAGGAGGTCAGGGGCATGTCCAGACTTTTTTGACTAGGGTGGCCAACCTTCGGCATTGACTTATGGATGGGTGGCTTCAAGTTTGTGGACAAACACAAATACATGTCATTTTTTACCCTTTCTATTCTATCCCCACTAATTATATGTACTTGTAAGTAACAAAATTTGGCAGCATTTAAATCTTCTTAACTTTATTCTTTAGCGACTCAAAAGCAAAGATGTATGTGCAAAGTCACAATTTTAAGTACTTTAAATTGCTTTGACACTCTTGTACACTGTCTAACCTGCAAAAACACTTTAATTGTCAAGTAAGTCCATTGCAGGTTAGACAGTGAGCATGAGTTTTTGCTTAGAATTTTTATGCCCCCCCCCTCAGGACACGCCCCTGGCAGAGGTGAATAATAAGGCATAAATGCGTAACTTTCATTTGGTCCATCTTTCTGCAGCTGATGTTCCTGGCCTACCTGTTCTTCCTGGTGTGGCTCGGAGTCACAGCGTTCACCAGCCTGCCCGTCTTCATGTACTTCAACGTCTGGTCCATGTGTCAGAACACCAGCCTGGTGGAGGGAGCCAACCTCTGCCTGGACCTGCGTCAGTTTGGTATGTGACACATAATGACATCGATGGATGGATGTGTCTCATTCATTTTTTATCTCTGTAATGTTGAGATTGTATTGATCAATGTTCTTAAAGTTAAAGCAGCTTTAAGAATTCTTAGAACGTCTAAGCTGGATCTTATCTGTGAAAAATGTTTTGGGTCTAAATAACTTGTGGATTCAAAAAACCATGTAACAGGCTGTTAATAAATAATGAAACTGACAGAAATTATAACTTCAAAAAATCTATTTTAACTTCTAACACTGACTGATAATTTCTCTGTTTTTGTGATTACTACTTAACCACCACTATAAAACAAACAAACAAATCAGTGGCAGACCAGAAAGTCTCATGATTTGAAAGAAAGATGACAGTTTTTGTTAGACCAATCTGGGGCTTTTAAAAAGGGATTTATTTCTGTTCAGTTAACCTATACCAGAAAAAGATCCATTACTTTGTGGATACTTTTACTGTCATTTTGACGGACACTCAAAATACCGCTATACAAGCTCAAGTCCATTTACCAATATGTGTTAAATGATACCATTCAGAACACATCTATAAGCTGTTAATTTAGATGTGAATCTTAAATTTTCCTCCATTTGGAAGGTTGAAATGATTTTCTAGTTATAAACACCAATGTTTGATAAGTTACTGAACGCAGCTTGCCTAAGCATCCTCATAAGTCCTCATGACGATAAGTACATAATTTCCCCTTGCTGCCTGTTCACTGGAACACATTCATCCACAAGCTCAGTTCACTCTAATTAATGGCAACAAACCAAATCACCAAACTGGCATAGATAGTGGAAAAAACCTGTGTGAGTGCAGCCAAAGTGCCAAGCCCACAGAGCACCATGTGCCACCATGAATCTTTCCCCAACTGAAAACTGCCAATTCAGTCACCTGAGCTGTACTTAACTATTTGGTTAATGGAAGAAGAGGATTGACCACAGTCTCCTTGTCTGTGAATGCTGTTGAGTTAGGCCTTTGACTTAAAGGAAGGTTTGGAAACAATGAACGGTCACTATTAAAACAGCAAGGAAACATTTTTATGTGTGCTTACAGCGTGAGGACAAAACCCTTTTTTTTTTAAATATGCTGGTGGCAGACAAAAGTAGAAAAATAACAACCTTAAGACAAAAATGACCTCAATTAAAAGAGGAAAACAGTGTTCTACTTCTCTCAGACAGGAACCGAAGAAAGTACTAGAGCACACAAATCACTTAAGGCAAATGTATTTAGGTGCAAAGGACTAATGTTTCAACGCACTGCCTCTTCCTCAGTGTCTGTTTTATGTGCTCCAGTACTTTCTTTGGTTCCTGTCTGAGAAAAGTAGAACACTGTATTATTTTGAACGTCTAAAGTCCTTCTCTGAGAGCTCCGAGCTCAATTTGTGGAGTGGCTGAAGCAAAATTCTCCTTCTACATTGCTAAGAATACAGTGTCTTGTTGTTTGAAAATAGATTGTGTGGTCTGAATCACTTAAAGGGACATGGGGAGGTTTGCTCCAGTAGATATCTTCAACAGGTAGCCAGGGATAAGGCTGTAATGGCTGCAATTTAATCATTCAGTGTTTATCAAGGCACATGTGACTGATCAAAGTAGGAACATCTTTGCTTTGTCACTGACAGGCTCAGATTTGTTTTTGCTCCATGTGCCTGAAAATATTACAGAAAGAATCCCTACTGAGATGAACTTTTGGTTTGTGTGAGGTACAATCACTGACTGTGTCAATAGAGTCTGCTGGCTTTGAAGATATTGACCAAACCGTGTGTCTGTTTAGAGAAAGCATCTCTCTCTTGAAGAAGGTCCACCTCTGTAGGGATCATTTCGGTTATGTTGACAGATATTTGGAGTAACAATCTGAGCCTGTCAGTGACTAAAACAAGAACTGTTGGTGGATGATCTCTTAGAGAGCTTATTTTGCCAAAAGATTATGGTGGAGCCATTATACGGCCCATTTTACTGCTGCTGGCTAAATGAATCTCCCATTCCCAAACTGTTGTTCATTGTAATCATTAAGACCCCAAGAGTGTAAAAAGAGAGCTCAAAAACATCACAATTAAAACTTCAACTATTGAAGATTGAAGATAATGTATGTATAGGAATACGATATGCCAGGTGTTGAAATATTTAATTGAAACTTTGCACACTCTTTTTAAAACAGTATTAAAATGAGAAAGTAGTAGCCTAATTGTCATGTAAAAATAATTGTATGTTAGATACTCTTTGGACTTCTACCCATAATTCATCTGAGAACAAATTTATTTATGGTTCATTCAAATCATTATCTGTGATTTCTTACATCGTGTAAAAACATCTAACTCAAAGAGTGATTCATTCTACATACTCGCCCACCCACCAGTGTACATCAACAAGATATTACTAAAGACCTCCGTCCACCATGTTGTTCTTCAGGCTCTGTTAAAATGAAAATGTATCCCAAGCAGTTCATGCAGTGCTGCCCCCTACTGTCTAACCTGCACATGAGCCTCCTGCTGCAGAGTAGTTATTGTGTCTAATAATTACAGTATTTCAAGGAATACAAATCTTTTTCACAAAGGATAGGATGCATTCCCCCCAGCTGCTCGCTGCGGTCATACTGGTCAGCTCCCAGTGGCAAACAGTGAATAATGTTCTAATTAAATCAATACAGAGACTCTTTAGTACCTGCAGGCCCATCATAAAGAGAGGTTCTTTATTTCATTCATCTCCAGAGTAATAAAGTGTTTGTGTTGTTAATGTTCTTGTTTACCAGGAGCTGTGACTATCTCTGAGGAGAGGAAGGTGTGCACAGGATCTGAGAAGTTCTTCAAGATGTGTGAATCCAACGAGGTGAGCTAAAAAAAACAACAAGAGATTGAGGAACATGTTGTTTTCTGTATTTGAAATGGTTTACATGCAAATATCTGAATAGAGATCAAGACTCTGACTCTTTGATTTGTGTTGCAGCTGGACTTGACCTTCCACCTGTTTGTGTGCGCTCTGGCAGGAGCAGGAGCTGCTGTCATCGCCATGGTGAGGACCTTTATACTTCTATCTGATTGGTTATGGGTCTGCAGAAGGCAATGGAAAGTGTTACCTCCACAGGTTTTCGCTTGACCAATGACTTTCCTAGTCAGTTGAACCTGTTAGATCGGAGCGTTGGTATACAGTCATGACAACTGTTTAATAATATAATATGATATAAATATAAGTAAGTACCTTATACTTAGAAAAAAACTCTGATCTTCAGTCATATCTTTAACCTAAAGCAAAAGAGTCTAATACTCTGGCAACATTTCCGTACAAAAACACATTTATATAATTGTGTGCAGTGTGCAGAGTTTGTCTCCATTTTTGCACTCAAACGCTGCACACTGTCCCCGATAACGTGTCCATATTGTTATTTTGTTGCAGTAATGTCTAAACAGGGATCAATATCTTTCAATTTACTCTTGAATCTTATCAAAGTTTAAAAACCATAAATCATAACAGCTATGCTCAGTGCTCCGTACTGTATGTATTCAGCCTGATCCTGCACTGTTAGTTAATGTTTGCTCTTCTTTCCACCACCAGTGTTAAAACACAGAGCATTAGGACACTTTCATCTATTTTCTGTAGCTGTTTATTCCAGGGGGTTGGAGTCTTTCCCAGAAACACTCTCTACCTCCTCCACACTTTTCTATCTGAGAAACAAATTGTGAAGATTTTGAATACTAAAGAAGCAGAAAGGGAGACGTTGAATTTGACAGCAAGTGCTGTGAGAGATGAATCAGATTTGTTTCCACTTTGTGTCAGCTGGTATGAAGGTTTTTCTCCTACAAGTAAGTAATTAATTGACATTGTTAAGTAAGTAAATAATTTGAAATTATACACTTAATTGATTGACTGTATATAAAAATATGACATGTTTCACCTCCTTCTCTTGTACAAATGTGAAGCCATTTTAAATAATGTCCCGTCTGATAACATGGAAGAGGCTTAGTTAATGACCTATACTGCAGCCAGTCTATAGGGGGAGCACTGTATGTTTTGGCTTCACTTTTGGGGAGCTGTCATGTTGTCCATCTTTTTATAAAGTCAATGCTTAAGATTTAGAGACAGGGTTACATCGCAGAAATCCCTTTAAATATGTATATTTAAAACATGATATAAACGTTTGCATTAAATCTACACTGAAGTCTGATATGCAGCTCTACAAAAAAAAAATCTGCATGTTGCTGAGCTGGTACAGAACAACTGATTGTAAGCATCACCTTACATGCCAACCAAACCCAAAGAAAGTTTGTGTCGTTGCAGCAGGGCAATTTAAACCTTGTATGAACTCGTTTAAAGATACCTCCAGTCTGACATCTTTCTGCATGGCAGTGGGCCACAGATACTTAATTCTTCTTTGCCTCTTCTTGCAGTTGTAAATGCAGTTATATCACCATCTTGTAGGTGTAGTACTGCCACCTTCTGGACTGATAATGTATGTTATCAGAAACATTTTTAATTGATAGAGCCACACGATAATGCTAACTAAAGCAGTGAAAATACAATACTGAACCACCTGGACTTGCAGTATTAAGTTTTAAGTTTTGATTTGCATTCTTGGGTGTTTTCAGTATGTTTGCATCAGTAAACCTATAGCCAATGTGAAGGAAAAGCCTGTGTGTGGCTTACAGTTGTCTTCATGATGGCTTGATAAAAGAGAAAACATTCAGGACACTGCAGATTTGTTCTGGTATGAGTGTAATACATGAAAAACAAAAGCAGAAAAAAATAAAAGGAAAAAGTAGTAAAGGGTGTCACCTGGTCTTGGCTGGTTTAGATTTTCCTGTAAAGGAGTTAAATGCAAAGAAACAAAATATCTAAAAACAGAGGTCTACCATGTCTATATATGTATATATATATATATATATATACATACACTATAATTAAGCCTGAATTTCCTTCATCTTCAGGTCCACTTCTTGATGGCTCTGGCTGCTAACTGGGGCTACCTGAAGGACGCCAGCAGGATGCAGAAGTACGAAGACATCAAGTCAAAGGAGGAGCAGGAGCTGCACGACATCCACTCTACACGTTCCAAAGAACGCCTAAATGCCTACACATAAACACACACCTGCAGGAAACGACACAAACACACACACACGTACACACACACACACTTAAACCTGTCAGACACACAAATATGATACATGCAGACACACTCACACACATGAAGCCTGACACACAAGAAGCATACAGAATACAAACAAATGAAGAAAAAAAACAACACTAAAAACATTCAAAGCAAAATAAACACACGAAGAGGGAGAAATAAAGAAGAAGAAAAAATGATGAAAACATGGACACCATCATCATCCTCATTTCTGCAATGGTTTATTAGCTCAGATGGGCGATGCTAACAATTTAGCATCCCATATGTTTGCTTGCTTCATTTTTATTAACCATGACTTTGTCCTTTTGATCAAGAAAAGAAAAATAGCTTTACTTGAAACAAAAGGAAAGAGTTAAAATCTTACTTTCTTTTTTACTCACAATGCCCTAAAATATCTAGAACTGGTCAATAATTTCCAGAAGGAAAACATAAATAAACATGAAAATGTTAACATATAAAATAGCACAAGACATTTACAAAATTATACCAAAAAGGACTAATAATGAGCAGAAGAACCCAAAGACATTTTACAATAACATGTGTTTGCCCTTCTAATTTGCATCCCTATGATTTCACTGGCTGTGTTGTATTCTTTTTTTTGTGAGATAAAGCGCACATCTCCGCCCTTTTCAACAGCTTTTCAGCTTTAACATGTTAGCACGGCATGCCAAAAAAATCTACAGCAGACATTTGAATGAGTTTGGTGTCTATGAGCTCATCATTTAACGAGGGGGACAATATCACGATATACCCCCCCCCCCCCCGCAGTACACACATCACACACACGCACAAACACTCACACACACACACACACACGCACACTCTCACACTTACACATAGATGTGGCTGAATGGTCGGTGTTGTTCAGGCAGTGTTGTATGGTGGTGTCATGCTGTGTCGTGTCGTTTCGCCACATTATGATGACTGGTACTGCAGAGAAAAACGGTCCCTGAGGATTATGTACCTCCTGGGTGCAAATGGTTACCCCCCCCACCCTCTCTTCCCCCTCCTATGTCCTAAAACCCTACTCCTCCTCTTCCTCCACTCTGTGACCTCTCCATAGAGCCCTGTTTCATTAGTTGTTCCACAGACCTTTGCAACAGACCATAGTGTCCTAAAATCGTCCGTTTTATGAATAGGGTTTGGTTTGAAATGACATCGGTCATTTAAATTCTAAAGCCATATATTGATTGACAAAATGTGCAGATAGATGGGTGTCAAATTCTATTAAATCCAAAATTCCCCTGATATGGCTTTCTGTCCATCACATGTCGGACTACCCTAGCTATTTTGGCCCTTCAGAATAAAAGCACTTAAGATGGCAGTGGAAGCCATTTAATACAACTAGTGAACCTGAGCTCTGCTTCCTCCCCCCCTTCATCCCTGATTTGTACAAACTTGTGAAATGTCCTCAGAAACAGCACATCTTAACAGCACAAAGTCTTTTTAACGTGTGTCATGTTCTCATCAGTCTTTTTTTCTCACTTTTTGGACTTTTGCCACATTTTTATCAGTATTATTTATATGTAATTTTAGAATGGGGGAGGGGGGTTGTTTCAATGGAACAGGTGTGTGTGTTGGACGGGGACGGGGTTGGTTGTAACAATTTCACATTTTCTTGTGATGATTCTGTATTTCAGTGGTTCTGCACACAGACACACACACACACACACACACACACACACACACATACACACACACACACTCACAGATACACATACACATTGCGTACACACCAATCATGTTGAGGATTATTTATTGTCATGTTTACGTGTTTTTTTATACCTTTATTTCAGCTAGCCCTAATGTGACCAAAACTCCAGTTCATGTATAAGCTGAATTTGAAAATCACTGATACTGATACCAATTTGTCATTTGTAAAAGAATCAGATGATTACTGTGAATTCTGGGAGACGGTGAAGGTTTGAAAGATGGAGCAGGATGTGATGAAAGATTAAGGATCTGATTCCTAGAAACATTTGAAGGTGCAGAGATTTGTAACATCTAACGAAGCATCCGGCTCAGGAAGTAGAACGGGACAGTTGTGATGAGGTTGAGTGGTGTGAATAAAATACATTTTTAAAAAAAGGTCTTGAGTTTCGAAAGAAAGCAAGTGAAGGGAGATAAAAGTCACCACTGTCGGTTGCAGGGATCTAACTGGAGTAGTCTATTGAAAATGAGGACCAAGATGAATGATGTTCCAGCTGATAAGCTTGCGGTTTCTAGATGATTTGTGTTACTGGAGAGTTTATCTATGTTATAAAGGATGTCCAAGTTAATACTTGGTATCTGAGTTATCTCTCCTCAGGTGCTCCGTTATTGGAAGCTGTGGCCTATTTCTTTGCTATAGATCACCGATAACGTGATCATACTTGTTGAGATTTTGACTCTAATTTTTAATTGCTTACTGCTATTTTTCAAGTAAGGCCAATTTGACCAGCATTAAATACAATGCAAAAAAATAGATTTTTATTCTTAAGATTTGAAATAAGGAGATTTTTAAAATGATCTGCTGCCAGGGTTTGCAGGGCTGTTCTGTCTGTTTTATATGTTAAGTTATGTTGAGCCATTAAAATGAAGGTGTGTTCAGAACAAGAGTGAAGTGAATATTTGAACTGAGTGGTTACAAAGTCGAAGAAAAAGAAAACACAATAAAGGCAAATGACATCTTTACATGAACAGTAATTTGTGCCAGATATGAAACATAAAAATAGCATGATCATAATTATGCATCAAAAACAAACTTGTATCAGTAAAAAAAGAGGCAGAGATTCTCTTGACTTTTGTTGAGAACACGTCTTTAGCAGGTTGTTTGTTCTGTCCTGGTTGAAATGTGAAGGAAAGTGACGATTCTCTATCTGCCAGTAGAGACGACTGAGAGGGAATGATTACTGTGCTGATGATGAAGATGGTGATGATGGTGATAGTGGTGATGAAGGGTTTGATCTGATAAGACTACCAGCACACACACACACACACACACACATATACACATATACACAAAAACAAGCACACACACCACCACCGCCATCACTCTGAGCCATAATTCTTTGCTCATTTACTTTTCACTGATTACATTTCACTATTTTATTATCAACTTTTAAAAATTTTAAATGTTAAATCATTTAATTAAAAAAAAGGAAATGTGTTTTAAATTTTTCTTTTTTCTTTCTTTTTTTGTGGGCAGTATTAAAAGCACTGTACCTTCGGTAACTCTGTATAAAGATATACATATATGTGAAACAGTCGAGGTGAGCAGCCGGGAGAATGATTTCCTATTGGTTACAGAGTCTGGAGGAGGCGGTTCAGTCCCAATGTCCTGAGCTTCTGCTCCCTGACAGAGCTGCATTTACACACACAGCAAGGACGCCGGGTATTCAAGTCAATGGTTATTGGTTTGAACACCTTGCATGATTGATAAATATTCTAAATAAACATCAAAATTAAAATGCATTTTGAAGTATCACATGCAGTACTCCAAAGTACCTCTAGGGGTCGATGATATCACAAAACCATTACTTTAAGATGCAGAAATCCTCACAAGATGGCATCTAAGCCTCCAAACAAATAGACCAAATAATCTAAATTTATAAGAAAAAATTGTTCATTAACAATCTAATGACTAATTGTTTGATCAAGTTAAATGTTCACATGTTTGCAGAGACAAACTGAAAGAAGAAATTCATGGAGAAGGCAAACTGACCATCATGCAATAACAGATGAAGTGGATGAATGGTTCTGAAGTTGAAAACCTGTTTGGATCTACTGTCCTCCATGAACATTATGGTAAACAGAGCTAAATCTGGTTCTTTATGTTGTGTAAATGCAGCTCATCTGACAGAATTGATTTAAAAGTACCATCTGTGTCGATAAAGGGAGACTCCCCCGGACTCGTGTCCTGTTCAGGTGTGTCTCGGCTGCATACAGTCAGTATTTTTAAGGGTCTAGTTTTACAGTAACAGTATTCTATCATTTCATTGCCTGACAATGGATGTCATGTCAGTGTTTTTAACCTCAGATAAAAAGAAAAAAATAGTTTTTTGTGCACTTATTGACCATTGTGAGCTCTCTCTCTCTCTTATTCTTGGTGTGTAAGTGCATTGAGATCCCCTCTGAGGGACCTGTGTATAGTCTTGCAGCATTGGTTATAACCTGAAGAAATAACAATGATGAAAACGAATGAATTCATAATAATGAAGATAATCTTATTCTAGGTTTAAAAAGAAAAAAAAACAAAAAAAGACAGTGAATCTAGTTGTTGTTTGTGGCATGGTTATGCATTAAATGGTCATAATTTTAATGATTAAAACAATACAAAAAAAAAACTTATTTTCCACTGGCGCTGTTCTGCTGTTTTGTTTTGTTTTCACATTTTCAGTGTGCAGTATTGCGGTTCCTGTTGCTAATGGTGTTGCTAAGCTAGCTCGCTTGCTCAGTTGTTTACCACCAGAGCAATATATTGTAGCAGAAATCCAGACGTAAAACACAAAGTCAGTACATTTCTGGCATTTAAGTGCATGAATCTAAGATTGCAAGTCTTAAGTGATATGATCATGGTGTTCTCTATTGTTTCTCCTAATAAATCGGATTTGCAGATGTGGTGTAATGTATTGCTCTGGCTATCCCCCTCACCCATCTCTGTCTTCATCCTGCACCCACCTCTGCTCGCATCCTCTTCCTCGCTCAGTTCTTCTTTTTTTTTTTGAGCTACAGTCACACCACAGCTCCGGGTGCTTTTGTATTTAAGTGACTCATGTCTGATTTCCTGTGTGTGTGTGTGTGTGTGTGTGTGTGTGTGTGTGTGTGTGTGTGTGTGTGTGTGTGTGTGTGTGTGTGTGTGTGTGTGTGTGTGTGTGTGTGTGTGTGTGTGTGTGTGTGTGTGCTTGTAACAGCCAGTGTGTGCACACACAGGAGTCACTGATGCATAAGTAAAGCCCCATGTTACCTAGCAACAAGCACAGTCTGTCCAGCTCACACAGCCAAATCACCATCTGTAATGAAGGCCGAGTAATAATTCAGAGCTGCACGATCTCTGTTGAAGGTGGAGAAGAATCACTGGCTGATACTACAATAGTCAATCATGAGATACAGACCTAAATAGATTCACTATTAGGAAAAATGTCTTTGCCAGGTGGTGTGATGGAGCTTAAAATCTGAAATGTTTGTCATAGCAGCTGATAGGAGATCTGTGTGCTGCTGGGAGTAGGGAAGAGGATGCGAGCTGCTTGCTCTCCATTTGTTTACGTCTCCTCATTTCCTCACGTCGTCTACTTGTTTAGATGATTTTTAGGTATGGCTACTGACCCACGCTAATCCTGCGTCCTTCTTGTCTACCCGCTGACCACAGCTGAACATGGACTCACTTTACCATCCCACCATCCTGGCCACAGGCTTTTTAAGGACAGATAAAAAAAACACACAACAATGTCAGAGTCTTAAAGCAAAGAATTTCAATGAGATGAAATCTGATTTGTAACCTCGTGTGATGAAGATTTGATCTGTTTTTGACTGTTTTTGCAGCTCTGTATCACAGGATGAAATTTCAGATCCTTTGTGCCTGAAATGATTCAGCTCTAAAAATCGATGATCCATGTGTTGTGTCAGGTTGGGCATTTTGGACGTTGGAAGTAGTTTATTTTTCTTTCTTTTTTTCTGTTTCTCCATAGTATTCTAGTCTTTTTGTACTCCACTCTGGTTGCATAGTAGCAGGCTTTATCTGATTCACTCCTCCATTTTTGTACATATCTGTGCCAACAGCTTGGGCAGACAGTGGCTTTTTTATTTGTAAAGACATAAACTTGCTTGCATATATAAATAAAATGAAATAATACACTTGTGTACTTGTTAATAAGGGAACATTGTGAGTTTGTGTCTTCATTTCACATTGCAACACTTGTGGTTGTTCTCAAAGCTGGTGATTACACTATAGTGTATGTTCTCAATGCCAATTTCCAACAATAGCCTGTATCAGTAATTTACAAAGCGAACATGACATCTATAACCCAATACTGACTTTTTAAAGTCTTGAGTTCCACATCCGGAAGTCATGATTGTTATTCAGACCCAAGTGACTTTATTTGGACATTCAGACAGTCAGGAACCTGCACACAGAGCAGAATAAAGAGCTCATTTTATCAGGGAAACAGCCCCACCTGGTGGACGATTTAAAACAATGCATGTCCACTTAAAGAAGTTTACGAACATACATCTGACATCAGGGTTGGGTTTCAGTTTTTTAAAATAATATAAAAAGTGACTGACCTATTTAAAAGAAGTTATTACGCTAAGATGCAACAGGTGCTGAAGCAAAAGTACATTTGGTTAGAACCCTCGCCTTAATCCAAAGGATACCTACATTGATCTCAAACCTCCTTGAAGCGGGGTGGGGGGGATGTTGAGCCACCTTTGGGTCAGGATGGGGTTCTTTTCTTTTTCTGCACCACTTTTTTGTTCCCTTTTGATATTTTTTTTTTCCCTAATCCAAAGGACCAAACTGAGTGTTTATAGGATTTCCTTTCCTCCACTGCTCAGTTAGGGAAATGAAGTGACACCTCACATGTGCAGCCTCTGGATAAAAATGGCAGCCCAGACATAACTCCCTCCTTCTTTGATTGAAACTGATGAGAAGAAATTTGTGTCTATCCTCTGACCGGAGCTAAATAATCTAAAATACACATGCAAGAAGAATGTCAAAGGGTTTGATTGAGTGTTGGATTTGAGTTCAATCCTTTTCAAAACACTGAGATTATGAGCAGAACTGCTGCCTTGTATTTGACAGGTAAGCCATCTCTCTAAGGTAAGTTAGTTACAAGTCATGTTTTCCATGCAGGAAAAATGCAAAGTAATCTCATATTCTGTGGCTGTTACTATTTATGAGTTACAAATCAGTGAGACATTTTGCCTTTGTTCCCAGGTTTTCTTTAATCACTTCATCAATTGATTAAGTCTTTGGACATGACTTCAAATAAGAGCTCTAGAGTAGGCTTCTTTTTATGTTTGCATGTTCATCTCCAATTTGTATAACAGCAAATAAAAAGAGGAGGAGGATTTTGCTCACTGGCCGAGAGGAGACAAATCACAGAGTTCCTGATTTTAAAGAAGAAACTGGAGTTATCACTGTCACACTGTTAAGTTGTGAAATTAGGGGTTTCATCCTTCTGTGATTGAAACTGATGAGTATCCATGTTTATTCTCCGACTGAGCTACAAAATGTAAAATACTTATGCAAGAGGAAAAATAAAAGCACCATGCCTGTTTACCTGTTGTTGAGACAACAATAAGCATCTATCCAAAAAATATTCCTTTAGCTGCCCTACAAATAACCCAAAGAAAGGTACTCAGATACAAGATAATCATTTTTATATTAGGGTTCAAAGAGAACAGGAAATGAAAGCTCAGCATGTTCACAAACATCTCTGACATCATTAGAATCTAAAAGACATTTTGTCCGTCCTTGAAATGTGTTTACTTTAACAAACTCGGGTCAACAAAAAGAAAAAATCACGATCAAGATGAAACATTTACATAAAACACATGTGCCAAAAGATAAAATACCATATCTTGTTTAACAATCAGGAAAAAAATACTGTATGAAAGATTTTAAATCTGTTCTAAAGATACTTTATTTTGAATCATTTATTGTAAAAGTGATTTAACTATAGCTGTGATTCTTAGAGGGAAATGGTTAATACTTAGCAATTAATTTTTGAAAATTTGAACATTAAAGCTAACACCAGCTAATGCATGCTACAAAATCCCTCATACCAGGGGAGGCTGAAGCAGCAGAGCCCAGCGCGTCACATCATTCATTCAAATCAAAACTGACCAAAAAAACAAAACACTATATAATACATTTGTATAAAAACATACATTTCTGAGTTATGCAGCGAAAACAACCTCAGAAGCAAACAAAAATAGAATTTGGATATAATGTCAACATGTGGTTTTATAAAAACAACTAAAAACTAAAAAAATACAAATACTGAAAAGGGTGAGACATTCAGTTCGATCGTTAAAAAATGACAAAATATATTTACAAAACTGATACCTCCTTTTAGTTTTCACAACAGTGTCTGTTACCACCACTGATTTATGGTGATATTATGTATAATGCCTTTTCACGTCTTCTGACAGAATAAGTCTAATAATCAGATTCAAGTGTCATCACTTGATAATCAGACCTTTGTAGTCTATTTCAGAATTAAACACCCAAATCTCCCACAAAACTGTCAGCGGTCCAATGTCATTGTGGGAAACAGACGCCAACTCAGTCTCACGCTCCATTCTTTAAAAGATGCTGCACATAGCTGTCTGCAGATATCATGAATCTGGACACCACCCTGTAGCCTTTTATGCCGATAAAGTCCTGCGACTTTAAAGTGTAGATGTTTCCCCTTTGGGTGCTGGTCAAGGGGTTGTGAATGTGGCTAAAAACTGAAGCCGTAGCGTAGCAATCGTACCAGAAAAACTGCAGTTTTTAGTCCATATTCTCTGACACCTTCTTTTCGCTCATAATAAACAGCTGTGGTCAGAAACCACCACAAAAAGAAAATCATCCCGGCTTATTCAGCAGCCCTTCAATGAGCCACATGCACAGACTGTTTTCCCTCTTTTGTCCAAATAAGGTCACTTGGATCTGAACATCAATCATGACTGCCGCATGTCGAACTCAAGGCTTTAACAAGTCAGTGATGAAGTAATGTGATCAGTCCTGTAATAATGAACAGGCTGGTTTTTGTTTTCAAACTGAATTTACAAGGTTTTTTTGAACAAATATACACAACAGAAAGGCCTCCATGCAGGAGAAGTGCTTACTAGTTAGAATATTTCACAATAAACTCTGACTGTCCTTTCTCAGTCATTGTTTACCAAGAATACATACAAGGCTTGTTTTTACTTAATTTAAATAATGCCCAGGTTTTCGTAGATTACATCATCCACATTATGGTCTGTGCCTGTCAAAGGGACAGTAGTCGTAGATGAAGGAGGGCCATGGGATGGTTTTGTTTTGTGGACTTGAGCGTAAAGGTGGGCGAACGGGTCTGTTTTTACAACATTTTTATGAGTCTCCTCCTCCTTTTTGGTCATGGGCTCAGAATAAATGGGTTCATCGTTCGCAGAACACTTTATTTGTGCTGTACTCTGAATCACAGTTTGTTTGTCTTGCACTGGACTGATTTTGTCATAGACCTCTGAGTAGACTGGATCTTTGTGATCGCTGTCAAAGCAGGGTTTTGAAGCCGAGGCGCTCGGAAGGGGACTGACCGATTCCCTTGAATTGGGAGGTTTGAGTGGGAGAACACTGGCAGGGTCTACATACAAAGCCGTGGTTGGATGATGTTTGCGAACAGATTGAATGCAGTCAGCAGGGTCAGCGTACACAGCATCTGGTTGTGCACCAAGCTGGCCGACAGAGCTGCTGACATCCGTGGGGATCATTGGGAGAGGCATGAGGGTGATAGGAGCTGGCTGTGCTGACATATTCTCTGGTGAACTTGGCAAATCTTCTTGAGAACTCCCTTCTGAAAGGGCAGAATTCTTCTCCTGTGTCCTCAGATTGTTCTCCAGGATGGCAGCTATGCTGGTCAGATCAGGTATCTTTGGGAGAGGGGAATGGGCTTGTATATTGGGAATTGATTTCTCACTCTCTTGGTTCGGGATGCCTAGAGTAACAGGTGATGTCTTCCGTTTGATGGTGATTTGAATCAGGGAGAATATTTTTTCAGCCTGCTGTGTTTCAAAGCTGAATGTTCCAGGACCAGAGTCACAGCGTCGTCCTGCTTCAATGGTTAAGGCCGACTGGTGAGAAAAAAACAAGGTTTCATTTAGCCAGCAATTGTAAGAATCCGATTCCTTCTCTATTTGAACAAGGACAGTGCACCTGTAAGGTTGTTTTCAGAGACACAAGATGAGCAGCTAAAAGAAAGGTTGGTGTGGTTTACAAAAAGCATACCTTATCTTTTCCATATCGCCTCAGTAGTTCATATGGCCACTCTCTGATGATACTTCTCTTCTGTGTTTCTTTCAGCAGCAGTGCCTCTGCCCCCACCTGCAGCAAGTATGACCCCTGCAGGCCACAACGTGATGCTGCGTCAGTCCTCTGAACCGCCACCCTGAACTCTGATGCTGGAAAGAGAAATGACAATATTCTGTGTCCCATTGAGGATCTCTCATGACTCTGGACATGACAACTTAATTGAGCAAATGTCACTTAAATATTACAATACCATACAGCATTTCTCCCAATAATTCTAAATGGCCACGTTTAGTTACTGCAGTAAAAAAAAAAAAAAACTGGTAGCCACAAAATATTTATAAATTTTAAATCTACTAAGGTCTCATAAAAGCCAAATTTAAAGAGCCCATATTATGCCCTTTTTGGGGTTCATATATTTAATCTATGTACCTACTAAAGTATGTTCACAATAGCTAAAGTTCTAAAGTGTCTGTTTTCATGTACTGCCGCTCCATGCACCGGCTCACTTCTGACTCTCTCTCTAAGGCTCTGAAGTGCCCACGTTCAGAGTCCCCAACTGTGCCAAGTCTGATCTGATTGGTCGGCCTGTCGGCTCTGCCATAATTGGTCAGTCGCTCAGCACGGTTCTTGGAAATGTCATGCCCCTTTTACCATATTAGGAATGCAGCCACTTTGGCTCCAAGGGGAGCAAAAACACCTTAGCACTACTGTGCTACCGCAGGCTATGGCATATCGTGGGCGTGCAACAGAAGTTAATGGATGTGCAACATGAGCTGCTGGGCTTGCCACAACGAGCCAATGGGCTTAGATCAGTGATATCACACTGACAAGACGTCACACTGGCAAACTTTTTTCGAGGGGGGCTAGAACCGAGCGTTACATGCAGCTAATGCTACAGCTAACAGGAGGATGTGGGAGAAGCCGCGTTTCCGCAGACTTTGAATTTTTGCACATAGATGTGCCTAAACATGCACAGGACACTTGGAAAACACACTAAAGGGCATATAAAACCAGAAAAAAACATAATATGACCCCTTTAACCTTGAGCCAAGAATAGTGATTTAAAACCTGGGAGTCTATTGAGTGGGCTGCATACTCTTTAAGTAAACTATTCAAGTACAGGCACCATATATAGTCCCTTTCACACATACTCTACACTCCTTAACATTTCCTGACATTGTCCGGGGGAGGCGAATGAGTGAACGCTAACAGCTGTATCTGTTAATCCCAACTTTATCCAGACTTTTTTCCAGTAAGCCCCTTGAGGCTGACTCGTCCTCAGTTGGATTTTAGAGTTGGTGATAATTGTGGAGCACAAATCAATCGGACAGAATAAGGAAATAACTGTTAAAGGGATGTAAAAGGTTTACCTTCATTTGCTGAGGCATATATCTGGTTTTCCTCCATATGAAGCTGATCAGTGCCGGCGGCATCGCCTCTCTGAGAATGACAGGGGAAAGAAAACATTGAGGTTTGACTTCTTAATGTTATATGATTGATAATATAGAACAGTTAACACACCTGAAACGTGTTTTGGCACAGTTTTTCCACCCAGTCCACACAGTCGTCTTTGAGTGCAGCAAACACCATCGTCCTTTCCTGAGTCTCCACGCAAAATGCCGACATGTTCTCCTGCAAACAGCCCGGATAGGAGTGTGTCCTTTTTATTCAACTTTTTATTGAACTGCTGCTGATACATGTGTGACTTCATAAAGACCTACCATTGGACAGGCCTCAGCATGTGGGGGGAGTCTGAGGACGCTGATGAGATCTGACAGTCGGACCATCTTCACATTTCTGTCTTGAGGCTGATGGTGCCTCCTGACCCCAGAACCATGATCGCCTCCAGAAGCGCCACCTGGTGGACACACAATGAAGAAACAGACAAAGTTTTTGTTTTTTTAAGATGATTTACTGTAGAGACCCAAAAGATGGTCCTGTAAAAATTCAGGACACAAAAAGTGAGTAAAAAATATGTAGGCTTACTTGTGATAGAGCAGTTTCATTTATTAAATTGTGTAAAGAAACATTGTGTTAATTTGTAATTGATCATTTATGAATCCTATAGCCTGATATATATAAAAAGTAGTTTCACAACATCATCTCTCTGATGTCACTTGCACTGTTGGGATTTGATGTTGAGAAAAGAAAATATTCTGCACAAACTCTCTAATGGAGGATGAACTACATGAGGCGACTTGCCATCCTGAATGCCAAACAGCCCCGGGGAAAAGTTCAAAAGGAGGTGTGTCAGGTTCTGTGGCTGGATCAGAAAAGAAGCAAGCCCCATTTACAGTACAGATGAACACAAATTAATAAACCTTATTTGTTGTTCATTAGACTATTTCTGCTCTAAAACAATGGAAACATTATTAATTATTTGAAACCAGTTTAAAGAAAAGAAATAATGTGAACTGTTTAAAGCAACTGGATTGGATCAAATCTTGAAATTTTATTTTATATTTTTTTAAAGGTGATAATGCCATCAGATAAAATCACTCAATCCAAACTCTAATCTCTCGTTTTAATTTGGATTTAACTTCTAGTTTGGATTGTTACAAACTTTTTAGCAGGACTGGAATAAAAAAAAAATCTGGATTAAAATGATCCCAACAGACAGGCATATGCAGGCTGAATATCAGGAACAAAATGTTACCAAATGTAGGTCGATCAATTAAACATTTTCACAATCTGTTGATCATTTAGATACTATCAAGAAATTGCATTTTGTTTTCATTTGTGAAAAAAGGTGAGCTGGATCACCTGATCCACACAACAATAACAAATCAGCATCATTATTAGTTGGGCAAATGATTTCATGATTTCTACACAAAGTGAAGAGATTTGGCACAATGTTTGTCTTCATTGCATATCATTAAAGTTGTGGTGTGCCAAGTATCACAGTGAAATGAACTGTGTTCACACAAAAGCCACCAGGTGGCACTATGCCTTCTGGGAGGACCCAGCATTGACAGGTGCTCCTCAAGAAATATGAGTGAAAGCAGGAAGTGACATCAAAACAGGAAGTGTATTTCCTTTTGAGTGATTTACTTGTTGTTTTGTTTCTATAGGAATATTCCTCTTTCTTCTAAAAGGTAAATATGTTGTTACTGTTTCAAATGATACAATGAAACAGTCTTAAATGATGAAGGTGAAGAAGTACAAAATGTGTGTCACCAGTCTTAGTTCTTGTGATGTTAGTAACTCATGAGATGACTGCATGGTGCACACTTTCTCTAATTGTGTTTGTTAATTTTCACACACTTATTTTCTCATTATTCATAATTGCAAACATGTCATGTGTGTACAGCAACACACGTGTGTGTATTATTCTGTGTTGGGTTGTTACAGCCGTGTCTTGTTTAAAAATAAAAAACACTTATTCTTTAATAAAGACGTCAGTCTCTAGATTGATCCTTTTTGTGATGTTTTGAGGTGGTAAAAAATAACAATCTGAGTCTCTGAGAAGCACAAACCAGCACTTTGACAGGACAAGGATACCATGTATGTTGCAGCTCTGTAAACCTGTCTTGAAGCTGCAGGTTGAACCATTTCCCTCCAAAATGCCCCTTACCAGTTAAAACTAAAAGAAATATGTCAAAATAATAGGAGCAATGTTTTCCAGTACCAGACTTACGCTGTAAGGCTCCAGAACAAGCAGGAATGTCTGTTACAGCACTGACTGTATTTGAGGTTCATCATGTCTGACTCTTATAGATAACCTTAAATAAATTATATCTCAAAGACTGAAGGTCTTGTTTTTTTTTCATCCAATGCACATTAAGCATTCCTACATCCTCACACACCGACTTAGCAAACAAAGTAAACACTCTGAACTCTGATAAACTTTGTACTTTGTTCATAAATAGGATTTATTTATAACACCTGTGCCTGAAAAGATTAAGACAGACTTGACATAAGATGCACTTTCATTATAAACTCAGCAGTAGCTCCTGGTCGGGGGTGTTTTCTGCTGTCAGCTCTCATTTTCTCCTGCTGATTTTCACTTGTTTTTTGTTGATTGCCTAAAAGTTTTTAGCCTGCTGTGAGGTCTGTTTTCTACCACGCTATGATAAAGATAAAAAAAACATCCTATATTCCTGTTTTGTTGTCAATCTGACACCACAGCACAGATTTATATTTGTAGATGTGAAGAACAAACACTGTGTTTACATCTGAGGACACTATAACTTTAGAATTTAAAAAAGAAAAATGCATTTTTCTTTCTCTCATCAGGTCAATCTCATTTGTAATACAAGAATAAGTAACTATCCATGTTACTTTATTATTCCAGAATGTCGTATATTTATCCAGGCTATACAGCCTAATTTTAAGATGTTTTCAAGACTTTTGAATATTAAGCAGATTTTTTTCCTCCATAGAGAGAAAATCTATGTTGAATACTTTCTTTACTTAAAAAGAAAACCTTGTTTATAAATCTGTCTGCACAACTTGTTAAGATATTTTTGGGTTCTTTGGGTTCTTTAGGCCAAGATACATTTTGACAAGTGATAATTTTTTATTCTTGTTTTTTTCTACTTTTTTGCAGTGAACCAGCTGTTACTGCGATGGTCCCCTCAGACACTTTCAGGTCAGCTCACTGATTCGGAAGGCGCCCAAATGGACCGCAGTCCTGCTGTCCGTGTCAGCATCCTGTCTGAGTGTTTATCTCGTCCTCTGCGGCCTGGTTCATGAGGTCACTCACACAAACACACTCAGGCCATAATTTATATCTAAAGTTCTCGTATTATCTGTGCTACACTACCTGTCACTTCCTGTCAGCATTCAGTGTTGCATCAGTACTGCTCTCTATATGAGAGGGTTTTTTTCATTCTCTGTGTGACTAACGCTTACTGTGTCTTGTCTTTATTCTGGTGTAAAGGCTGAGCCATGTGTTCTCTTTCTGTGATGATTCTCTGCTGGATATGAGAGTCCATGTTTCACTCTTACAGTTTCTCAGAGGGGGGTACGTGAATTTCTAAGAGTACTTAAGACTAATTCAATAAAATGCCAACTTAAGTTTAATAATCCATGTTTTTTATTTAGTATTCATATCTTCAACATAATCAGAAACTAAAGTAATCTGTCGTTTGTCATTAAAACATTAACATTTCTAAGCATGAAGCCAGTTTAAAGATTGAATGACTGACTGCATTCAAGTCAATGAATTCATGGTCAGATGCTGCAGCGATACAACAAAAGAATGCAGCGGAATCTCTAAATAAAGAACCTGATAAGAAATTAATGTAAATCACTTGCTTTTTCAGATAGAAATAAGCCTACAGTCGCATGAAGCAAGCAAGTTTGTTAGTTTCAAGGTTAGGCCTACTGTCTTATTCCTCTTCATATCAGCTTTTTTCTACCTGAAGTATTTTGTGATTGTTAGCTGTACCTGGCTGAAAACATTACTGCTGAAAGGATTCATTTTTTCCACTTTTTTTAAAGGTTGAGAACCACATCCCTGAAACTCAGTTATCACTCTTGAGCTCCATTTAGTCTTCCTTTTCTTTCTTGAATTATTTAACATGCACGCTGTATGCAGCACAGTCAAGCATCTTCCTCTTAAATAAAAAGGTCTATAGAGACCCTCTGTGTAATGTTGTTAGACTTGTATTCAAATCTGAGTCTAGTAACAGACGACAAACACAATGTTAGTCCACATTCTGTGTTGAGCAGTTTTCAGAACTCCTTTTGAAAGTCAGTGAAATGCCCCTTTAAACTTTTCCTTATTGTCCGACTGTTTGTATAGTCCCCACAGTGGACTCAACTCTAAAGATGTCCCAGTAGTTTTTAAAGATCTCAGTTATTCTTCTGGTGCCTCCAATGTTAAAAAACAGTTTGTGCAAAATGAGACTAACGTTTTGATATCCTGAAACCTTTACACCATGTTGGGTCAAATGGGGATAGAAGAATGAAAACATGACAGTACCTCCCATAGCCTGGATCTCCAGTCGTCCCACTCCACTGCTGCTGTGAGGAAACAGAGACAACCACACTGGCTTCCATTTCTGACGAGAGAGAGACAGATAGGGAAGAGAAGAAGTTTAAGAACAGCACTGATGGCTACAAACCAGCATTGATGAATATAAAAACTTGCATTACCCTAAACCTAAACCATCGACTGTTTAAAAGGGAAAGATGTTGCCTGTGGGTCTTATACCTTCAATCTTTCTAAGATCAAAAACTCTGTTTCAAAAAGGAGTCAGATTATAGAAGTGTGTGAGAAAGTGTCTGCGCTTCGCTCTTGATGTTTTACCTCATTTAAAATATTTTCTAATAAGTAAATGATCTAAATCTCTATTTTTAAAGTCTTCTTCAGTACAGATGTTGGTATCATGGTCACTATTCTCCCACGGTACACATCACTTCTTTCTGTTTCTTCCTCACTGTGTATCTGACATCTGTTTTTACAGCAGGTGAGTCATTGGTTTGAAGAAGAAGATCATTTTTCAATTACTTTGGGTATCAAATAGATCAAAACTAACGTGGTAACGTTACCAAATTAAATCAGGCGCACAACCAGCAGCAACCTCCAGTGTCGAAAAAAGACTATAGTCCTTGTCATAGCGGCTGATTGGTTCAAGTCCGACCTCAGCTCCCTTTGCTGCATGTCATCCCCCACTCACTTCCTGACATTTCCTGTTTCTCTAAAAGCTGTCCTATCCAATAAGGCAAAAATGCCCCCCGGATGGATAAAGCCTTTGAAGTCACATCTGGAGGTGATAACAGATAAGAGTTATTCATAAGCAACACCGCCCGATAGCCTAACACTTATTTGTGCGCCTCATGTACCGAGGCTATGGTCCTTGCAGGGGCCACCCAGGTTCGACTCCTACCTTCAGCACTTTATCACATGTCATTTCCAACTCTTTCATCCCTTTATCAAACTCTGTCCACCACTTTACATAAAAGCTAAAAAAAAATAAAAATAAAAAAAAAATCATCAAAATAAAGGAATTAGCCTGATCTGTCTGCAAGCGAGCGTGTTGTACTGAAGCTGTTTACCAAGAGGCTTAAGGCCCGCCTCAGCTCCGTCTCTTTACCTGGTTACTAGGTTGACAGAAAGTTACGTTTGAGGCAGCATTTTCAATATGGTGACTGCTATCATTGGGCCTCAAAACTCCACTCCAGTAACCAATGGGTGCGGTGACTGTCTTAAATAATCCATGGTACAAACAGCTGCAACTTAGTTAACAACAGCACAAGTTGTCATTGAACAGAAGACGTCCAAAAAACAAGCAGTGCGCTCACAGGAGGAACATACGCAGAGTGTGTTTAGCACAGTGTGGTGGAGCAGGAGAGGCAGAGGAAACGACGAGTGCGTGCTTCTTAATTGACCATGAGGATGGTGCTGTCTTGTGGAAAAATAAATATAATAAATATGTGTCGCCTAATTTACCAACCGTTGATATACATGGGTAGACTTCTCAGTTAAAGGGTGTGTGGGAAATACTGGATGTTCTTTACCTCAGTGATATTCTTCTGACACACCCTGCTAATATAGGAAGTCTCTCGAGGGTCATAAAAAGCTCAGCTCAGCTTTTGGTTGGACTAGTTGTCAATTTTTAGTACATACATAAAGACTTGTTTTCTTTTAGCAATAATTAGCATCCCACTTCGTAACACATTTTTAAGAAACAAAGCTGCCTGTAACTTAAGCTGATAACTCCAGTTGTCTACAAGCCAACCATCAGTGACATCATGGTGGTTCTGTAAACTGTACAGTCTGTGACAGAAACCTTTCCTCCGTCAATGTGTCTGTCAGTTTCAACACTCCCACAAGTGACACATTGTAAATAGTCCAGGAGTGTCACACCATGAATGAAGACAAATGATGACACACTTCTGATGCAGTCACTCCTTTAAAATGAAAGAGGGAAGCATGCCTGCTTTTTGTGAAAATAAATTCAATTAAGTCACATATTTGTCATGTTACATGTTTGATGTAAAATAAGTTTTGATTTGTAATTGAGTCCCTTTCAGTTCGATTCCAGCTTCAGGTGATATGAGACTGATATTAATGTCATTAATCATACCCGCTGCGAAACCTGTGCTGTGAAACCACACAGAGTGTACTTTCTGTCACAGCTGCACAGGAATGTGTAGTTGTGTCTCAACTTGTTCATTTGGATTCTTTCTCTGCTGTTTCTTTTGAGCAACGTGCAGACAGTCTGACAGCCTTCACTAACAAAACTGTGAGGTCTTCTATGAGTTAAGATAACTGTGAATCTGAATGAAACTGATCAAAACACTGCTTTAAAAGTTTTTATGTTTCACCTTTTGACTCCATAGAGCACACAGCCATTCTGTTATAGAATCCATTCTCATAGCACATCTTCTGTCTTTCAATCCTTCTTGATCACAAATGGAGTCTGCACTACAAGGTCAGCTTTCTGGCATTTATCCCATTTTATGATTCTTTAGTTCTCAGTGCATTCTTCACACAGAAAAAAAAGGATCTTGTTCAATCCATTAAGTATTACTGCTACAAAGAAAGATCAATAAGCTTTGTACTCACTTTGCCAGCTTTGTGTGGTTGGAGGTAAGCTTTCCCTGTTTTGGTGTGAGAGTCCATCTGAAGAGAAAATGCACGTCAGTTTTGGACTTTGGAATCCTGAACGGAGGTTTTTCCTTCTCTTCTTTTTTTCCTTTGGTGAATAGAGGAGGTGTGGCGTGACCACAGTGAGACGTTCATGAAATATGATCCCCACCTGTAGAGGTGAAGCCGAGATTACACAAGTGAGAGGGGAAGAGCTCAGGACTAATTCAGTGTTTACACACATCCTTATCACAATCAGAATTGATGTTTATTGCCAAGTTCATTTACACATATAAGGAATTTGACTCAGCGTTTTGGTGCAAAAAAGTTAACAAGGAAATATAAAAACAGCAGAGGTCCCGCTGACAGCTTAAATAGGAATAAGGTACACAGATAAAGGTTAAATCTATCTTTATCTATATATGCTGTACGCATTTCTAAGTTAAAATAATAATAATCAGCTGCTATTTTATGATAGCCCAATAATTATGGTGCAAGAAAGCTATTGTTCTGTAGAGTTTTTTAATTATTATAAGCATTATTGGTTACACAATCACATTTATGAGTTTTTTTAATGCCCTAAAACAAATACAAAACTGGCAAACAAATCAATGCGCTGCAAATACCAAACTGCTGTCATTACAGAAGTCACTTAAAATCTTGACATTTTGCACAGAAATCAAGTGATACTCTACTAGTTCTCACTTGCATTGCGCCACATTAATAATAATCATAATAATAGCTTAAGATTTATATAGCGCATTTCAAGAAACTGAAGGATGCTTTACAGTAGTGGAAAGGGGGTCAGTAATATTAAAAACACAGAAAGAAAAACTCAAAACAAACAAATGAAGGAAAGAAGAAGAAGGTGCTCAATGGGGGGAGTGTTAAGGCCAAAGGCGTTGGTGAACAGGTGGTGTTTGAGAAGATTTTTGAAAATGTCCAAGAGGCTGCAGTGCGGATTTCAGCAAGGAGAGATCTATTTTACAACAAAAGTTATCTCATGACACTTTCATAAAAGGCAGATCAGGACAGATTTAAGACAATGAGAAGCACTTTACAAAAACAGCCTCTAATAGCTGCCTCTTTCTGAGTGGCTGTTCTGGTGCATAACCTGTAAAAACCTTAAATAGGTCGTATTCATCCCCAAGATTTTCAAGACTTTTATTCTGCAGCATTAAACAACACATTAAGAGTTAAGTGGGTGTAAGCGGTTTTTGGGGTCCACATGACATCTGTGACATCAACCTAGTGCAGTTGCAGTTGATTTCCCTTATCAGCCCATTTGTCTTTTCCTATCTTCTACACATGTTTGTTTGTTGTTTTTTACCCTGTGATGCTTTTCATTGAGGTGGATGAAAAGTAGTAAGGATAAGACATTGTTGACTTTTCACCCACTGTCCCAGATTTGGTAGAAGACAGCTTGGTCCTGATCAAATGGTTCTGAGCTAGTGTGTGGTGAAATAGCTCAAAGTTTCCTCCTAGAAAATCCCACTGAAGGAGCCGTTGTGTGTACCATTTAGCCTAAATGTTGTATTTAAGAGTACTTTCTTTTGTGGGAAAGTGTGTCTTTTTCCAATACTTGAAACAAGAAGTTGTCCAATCTGCCCAGGATTTCACATTTGGTAAAAGTCCAGGCTTGAAGAGCTGGATCAAATCATAGCCATAGTGCCACCTGCAGAAGACAGAAAGACAGATAGCAACAAATATAACATCAGATAATAGAGACTTACAGTAGCAATGCCAATACTAAGAGTAGAAATATGACTTTTTGTTAAAGCATAGTAACTTTTATAATGACCATGTTTAACTGAATTGATGCAGTTTAAGTCAACCAGTTATAAAGAAGGAGGTGGTCCAAGTGAGCAGAGGCACAAACACATATAAGCTTGAATGTAAAAAGTTGCTTTTCTGGTTAGGATTTGAAGATGCTGAAGGTTCTGTGCTCAGGATAAGGATATGTAGGTCACACAATACAAACACACACCTTATACTGTAATGAAATGCAGAACAAAGGTGGTCCTGCTCCTGAGCATGAATAATCCAAAATGACATCAGGTTATGAAACCAGCTTAAGGAAAGGTCATTGCTGAATATAATGAGCAGAGAATATAATGCCGAGGAAAAGATTCTGCTGCCATCAAGCACAGCTTTACCAGCGGGCAGATTGGGCCCATGCCCAGGGGGCTCCAACCAATAGGGTGCCTCCAAAACCCCACCACCTGTGGCATTCCTCCTTTGCTTTATTATTAAAAAAAAGTGTCTTCTTGAATGTGTGTTGAAATATGAATTGATGCAGACTTACGTTATTTGCAAACAAATGAGTTTGTTCCTGTGCCTGTATGATGATGATGAATCAGGTGACTGTAAGACTTGGATAGCACCTACACTGATCGTAGAGTCCTTCTCCTCATAGCAGAAAATGGTGAAGCAGTGGGGCAGCAAAGATAAAAGCGTAGAGAGAAAAGGTTAACATGGAGATTAAAATGCAGAAAAATATACACACATTTTTCACTCGCCTCTGGCAAAGAGCTCGAGCCTTGTGGTGAGAACAACACAACAGTTGAGCCTGATACAAACCTGAGGACCAGCCAGACATAGAAGTGGTTGTCAGGGAACAGCCAATTGATCTTTTGCGCACCTCTTTTTTGTCGTGACTATTTCAACCATGAAAGCTTTGGCACCGCAGCTCCAGGTTTAAAAGGATCCTCTTTTGTTTGAGGAACCCCACAATGCAGTGTAGAGGTGGAAGACCTGGACTCAGCAATCCCAATGCAAAAAAGTCCTGTCCATTAGCTATGACTTAAACCACTCAAAGGCTGTGCCACTGATGCCCACCCATTGCTCTAAACGGCTCTAAGAGGATGGAGTGATCAGCTGTTTCAAACGCTGAACTGAGATCTAGGAAAAAGGAAGCACAGCCAGCGTCAGCAGCTGTTCATTCATGACTTTATAGGAAGGTTAGTTTCTGTACTGTGATGAGCTCGAAAACCTGATTGCATGGATTCAAACAATGAATTATTTTTCATAAAAGCTAACAGTTGATTTGCTACAATGTTTTCCAGGACTGTGGCTATAAAGTAAGTTTAGAGATGTGGTTAAAATGGTTAAAATCATTAGAATGTATTCCAGGTTTCATTAACAGGGGTTAAATAAGGGCATTTTTTTAAATAATGATGCACGATACCGGAGGATAGGGAACTATTTTCTTCAAAGGAGGTGAGGCTTGGGTTAAGGAGGGCCTCCTAATTTAGTGCTAAGGGGTCTACATGAATACGTGCCTGGTTGCCGTATATTCATGCTTTTGAAGGAGTCTTCATCTGAAGATTAGGAAGTGAGAATAAACCCTGATCAGTCAAACAAATCTTTTGTACAATTCAAGTCCATTCAGCACTTTTGCAACCACTAAATGTGTCATTTTAGACGTTGTTGCCTCTTCTGTAAGAAAATAAATTATATCGTAGCTTAATATTAGTTCCTATGAATTAATAACCTTTGAATGCATAACATTTCTCCTCTCCTTTTCTTTCTTAATTTTTTCAGTGAGCCAATACCGTAAAGTTTAAATTGTGCCAACTCTTGATGTCCCGTTTTTGCTCCTGTGAAATGAATCCAACCATTTGAGGTGGATCAAACCAAATCACTCCCTCTTTGTCTCTGTTTTCTTCTTGGTTTGCCCATTGTGTTGGAAGAGGTGAAGGACAGGAGCACTGAGGTGACAGCTGGTAAAATTTGTTTTCAGCCAGATCTTGTCTCCTGAGAATCCCCTTTGGCCTGCAGTATTGACTGAACATCAATCATGTGGGAAATAATCAATTCATATTGACAGTTATAGTGTACCGTACCTACATCCCTGTGTTTCTGTGCAGGCTGCAAATATGTGTCAGTTTCCACAAGGACACGTTATGACAGCCTCCATATTGAATGATGGTGAAGGTTAAGAGGCTAAATCACTGATTTAAAGATTAGTTTGTGTTATTTATATTCCTTATTTCTATGCCATTGTTTGCCATGGATGCTTGTTACTGAAGTGAAAGATTCAAGATTAAAAACAAAACAATGAACTGAAAGGCTCTGAATTATAAATGAAACCAGAGGTACATTTTTACATAAGGGAAGAAAAATCTCCACATTTTAATTAGATTCTTCTGTCTAAAGAACTTTTATCAGGCAGGAACAACGCTGCCACAGACAACCTCTTTCATTATCATGAGCGACAATGTGAAATAAAAACCCACTTTGATTCTGGGTCATTTGGTCTGTGACCCAGAAAGATTCTCATTAGTGGTAAGTCCTGATACCATGTTCCTGCTGACAGATTGACTTTTTCTATGTCAAAGGATCTTCATGTACGAACGTGATGATTTGCATAATTAAAATATGCTACAGAAGGATAATTGAGGTCATTTTACCCTATGGCATTCTTTGTTTATGTAACATCCTGGTGACCGCTTTATAACCCAGACTCAGTATTTTCCATGTTTCTCCTGCTGTTTGATCCTGCTTCCTGAACCTGTTTCATTCTTCTGCCCGTCCGCCATCTGGACTCTGAATGTCTTTTTGTTTTGAACTTACATTGCACCTGCCTGTTTTCCTCTTCTCCTGTAGTTTGGTGACACATTCATAATTTCCAATTTCAGACAAAATGATTTAGATAATTTTAATTTTAATTTAAATATATGCTCAGGGTTGATTAAGAAAAGGTATTTTCCAGCAGAGGGCGCTCTGACTGAATCATTTATAATCCTCTCAGCACTGTCTGCAGCACATGAAACTAAGCAGCAGAGAAATCTGCTCTAATAGAATTGACTATAAATTGTTTATTAATTATCCCTTCATACAACAGAGATTTGTAATGTCACACTGTGTGCCGGCTTTTTCCTCTGTTTGACGTAATTGTGCGACATTGTTACTTTTGTTAGCATGAGATAAGTGCGATGGCAGATGTAACCAAACTAGTGCTGGTGTTAACGTTGCTAACTGGACTTTTTACATGCACACACATACAAACACAGTTGCTCTCCCACCATGTAGATGAACAGAGATGACTGAATGGACTATGGAGGTCACTGCTGCTTCATGCAACGC